CAGAGGGGTTACAATTACATGGGCAAGATAATGAGTACATTTCTTATCAAGCATTGTAGCCTCCTCCTTTGTTTCCCCTTCCCATCCCTTCCCATTCTCCCCCTGCCCCCCTAGATTTTTTTTTAAAAGACCTAATAACAGTAATTTCCTGTGGTTCTACCTATAATATAAAACAAATACACATTTTCAAAAAGTGGAAAAATGAAAAGTAGAAACCATATGAGGATTAGCCTATCTGTTCCCTGCATTGTGATCATCACTCTTCCACTCACTGCTCTCTACCAGGAAAGAGGTATTCGGAGAAGCAGTTCAGTTTGCTTTCTCTGAGCACAGACCCACAGCCTTACCCAAGATGGAAGTTTGCTTTGGTGGAATTGTTTCAGATTGGCATTTTTCACTTTGATTGTTGGAAAATGTAATGTATTTCCATTGCCTTGTCATGTTGATGTCAACATATGTCTTACCATTGCTTTTTTTGAATCTACTTATTAAAAACATAACTATTAATGCTTTATTGACATGAATATTCTTTTATTGACATCCTCTTTCTTCTTTTTTTTCTTTTTCTTTTGTTTTCTTTATCCCCATTTTTACATTTTGGACATCTTTATTACCTTTTTTCTGTCTTTGATTTCTGTCCATTCCATTATGAAGTGACAACGATCTGTTAACTCAAACTAGGACAATTGCAATGTCGTTGGTGAAGTGTGCTGGCAGTGACAGACAGGACCAGTACAAACTGGTCAAAGATATATCTTTCTGAAGACTGCACATCTTTTAAACAGACTGAGAGAACCCATAATTTTATAGTGTATTAAATGGAAAAGGATTTATGCTATTAAATACTCTAAAGGGATCTGGCTCCCTCTCCATTTTGGGGTCAGCTGCTGAGGTAGCACGCTGCCAGCAAGCAGAGCATGTGCACTTAGATCCCAGTACATTCCATGGGCCTCGTGCACGAGGCCTATTCCACTATTGACCATGTAGAGGTCAGGATTTTCAAATGCAATTTTACCTTTTTAGCTTTTTGGTGGAAAGTGTAAAAAAAAGTTTAAGTTAACCTTTGGTTTCACATTGTGTTGGCTTAGATATTTCCCCCCTATTAGCCCCGCTCTTTGCCTGATGGCTCCCTTACTGAATTTGCTAATATGTTTTGAAACAGTTTATACCCAGATTGGCTATTGGTATGTGCGTTAGCATCTCAATTTTCCAGTTCCCTCAGCCCTATGGGATAGCACAACTTCAAGCCCTACCTCACTCACTTTTATTTTACTTTGGGTAACTTAGAGAAGAGCTTGGGTTCCTTCCCACTGCCTTAAATTTAAACTTATAGATAACATTATCTTGAAGTCATACATAGTCATATGATAAGTGAAATTCACCCCATTAGTATGATTTTAAGGCAGAAAGAAAGAGGCAGGAATTTTTGTCCTGAAACTATTTTTTTAGGGAACCTTGAGGTTAAGTCTCAGAAATCTGATGGCCAAGCAAGGCGAGAATGGAAGTAAGCCTGAGGAAAAGCAATGGCTTACAAGTAAAAATAGAAAAACTGAAAAATCACATTTTGACCTAATGCCTAATATTCAGTGATAAGGAAAATGATCTCTAGAGAATGATGCCAACTAGCACTAAATTCTTTTTGAATCTTTCAAATATGCATCCATACACATATACATCTTTGACCAAATTAGTAAAAGCGTGAAGATGTGTAGGAAGGACTCCACTACTACGTGGAGTATCTGTAGGTCTTGCTTGTGGCCTTGCAACACCCTTCGTTCCTGCCTACACCCCTTATTAGAACATAGCTGGGGCCTTCTCCACCTACTGCAGACAGAAGTATTTTGCTTTTCTTGATTTTGTAAAAAAACAAAGCAAAAAAACCTCCATTAACACACATACTTATACTTTGAAATTCCGTTCATTATGCTCTAGATAATTGGTAAAGGCTGTATTGCTTTACATTGTTAATTATAAACAAGAAATAAAACAAAATTAAAGATAGTATTCTGGGCATATTATATGTTGTATTAAAAAAAAATCACAAACCGATTTCTAGACATTGTGTGGCTCTTTCACGTTTGAGTTTGTGAGTTCCCCCCCAAACTTTGTTTTCATTTAGAAATGTTTCTATTTCCCCATTTTTCTTTTATTTGTCTTCTTCACCCTTTTACACCCTAGTTCTAGCCTCAGTTTTACCCAAAGTTGATTTGAATTACACCAGATTGCAGCAAGCAGAGAAGGCGCAAGTGGAAGCTGAAGATGAGGATGAGAAATATCGACAAGAATGCCTCAGTAAATCTGACAGTCTGCAGAAACAAATTTCCCAAAAGGAGAAACAGCTGTGAGTAGTTTACTCTTAGAAACAAAGAATTCTATTGATATAATCCCTTCCCCTCAGTTTTTGTTTGGGTTTTTTTTTGGGTCCGGTTGTGGGGCCTGAACTCTGGACCTGGGCGCTGTCCCTCAGCTCTTCAGCTCAAGGCTAGCACTCTACCACTTGAGCCACAGCGCCACTTCCGGCTTTTTTTTCCCTGCTTATGTGGTTACTGAGGAATGGAACCCAGGGCTCGTGCTCTACCACTGAGCCACCTTCCCAGCCTCCCCTCAGTTTTTTTTGCACACCATAATAAAATACAAATTTTTTTATTTATCCAATGATACTGGCTAATATGTTCATTTTAAAAACTAAAAATTTAGCTAGGCACTGGTGGCTCATGCCTGTAATTTTAGCTACTCAGGAGGCTGACATCTGAGGATACCACTTCAAAGCCAGCCTGGGCAAGAAAATCCTTGAGACTCTTACCAGTTAGCCACTAGAAAACCAGAAGTGGAGCTATGACCCAATATGATAGCATGCTAGCCTTGAGCAAAAGAGCTCAGGGACAGCTCCCAGGCCCTGAGTTCAAGCCTCACAGCTGACCAAAAAAAAAAAATATTAAAATTTGGGCTAAGGATATATTTTAGTGGTAAGAGCATTTGCCCAAAGTTTTATGTTTGATTCCCAGTTCCACACAAAAACTGAAAATTTGTGATGTTTTCATTTTTATTCTTTTTTTTTGTCAGTTGGGGGGGCCTGAGCTCACCTGGGCGCTGTCCCTCAGCTTTTCAGCTCAAGGCCAGCACTCTACTACTTGAGCCACAGTGCCACTTCTGGCTTTTTCTGTTTATATGGTGCTGAGGAATAAAACTCAGGGCCTCATACATGCAAGGCAAGCACTCTACCACTAAGCTACCTTCCCAGCCCCTCACTTTCATTATTGCTTATTGAGTACTTTCAGCTATGTCTTGCTGTCATATGTAGGAGATTTTATTTATTTATTGTTGGTTGTGGGGCCTGAACTCTGCTGGGCACTGTCCCTCAGCTCAAGGCTAGTGCTCTACCACTTTAAGCCACAGCACCACTTCTGGCTTTTTCTGCCTATGTGGTGCTAAGGAATAGAACCCAGGGCCTCATACATACAAGGCAAGCACTCTCATCACTGAGCCACTTTCCCAGCCCCTATTTTTATTTATTTTTAATTTAATTTTGTTTTTGGTTGCAGTAACACTAAGGTTTGAGTTCAGGGCTTTATATGTACTAGACTAGCACTTTTCCAAGGACCTGTGCCCCAGTTTTGTTCCATATTAATCTGATGGCCATTAGATATGGAGTACTAGAACTTAACACCAAAGAACTGTCATCAAAGAACATGCAGTTGGGCGCCGGTGCCTCATGCCTGTATTCCTAGCTACTCAGGAGGTTGAGATCTGAGTATTTGGTTATAAGTGAGCCTGGGTAGGAAAGTCCATGAGACTCTTATCTCCAATTAACCAGCAAAAAGCCAGAAGTAGAGCTGTGGCTCAAGTGGTAAAGCCACCAGCCTTGAGTGAAAAAGCTAAGGGACCCAGTGCCCAGGCTCTAGTTCAAGTCCCAGTACACACAAAAATTTTCTCTTACTAGACTGTCTTTTCCTCGGACCTTTTGTCAGAGCATGCCTTACATTATTTCAGGGGAGAATGTTTTCTGTGTACATTGGCATTTATAGATTTAGGGCTCTTCAACACCTATTCTGAACTATTATCAGTATATGTACCCTTATTATTCTATCCACTTGCAAAGAATAATTTTGAAAATGACTTCTTGTTGGTTGTGGGGCTTAAACTCTGGGCCTGGGCGCTGTCTCTCAGCTCTCCAGCTCAAAGCTAGTGCTCTACCACCTGAGCCACAGTGCCACTTCTGGTATTCTGAGTGGTTTGTTGGAGATGAATGTTGTGGACTTTTCTGCCTGGACTGGCTTTGAACAGCGATCCTCAGATCTCAGCCTCCTGAGTAGCTAGGATTACAGGTATAAGCCACCAGTGCCCAGCGAAAAAGACTTTTTTTGATCAATCTAAAATGTAGTACTTTGACTACTTTTGTTAGAATGAGGTAGAATTAGTATTTCTAAGCAGCATGGACTTTTCTCCTAAGATGGCCTGCTCATAGATCTATCCTGATACTGGTCAGCTTCTAGCAGTAATCTGTAAATTAGCACTTTGCCCCAGTTGATTTCTATTCTGATAACAGCAATAATTATACCAGAGTAATTCTTTAGTTTGTTGTAAAAAAGTTCACATGGTATAGGGATACAACCCCACCCTAAGCCAGGTATAAGGTCACATGCCTATAATCTCAGCACTCCAGAAACGAGGCAGGAAGACTGTGAGTTTGAGGCTGGCCTGCTACAAAAAGAATCTTTGTCTCAAAACAATAACAAAAATCCCACCTTCCCTTGTTTTCACTAGTTCCATTTCCAAGATGTAACTAGTTTTTACAGTATGGCATTTGCCATTCCATTATGTATTATTTATGTATATGTAATAAATGACAAATGAGTAAGAAGGGTATTTTGTAGCTGAAAATCCTGAACTTATCAAGAAATATTTATGAAATAAAGTATCTCCAATCCTATTTAGAGGCTGAAATAATCAACGAAAAGATAAGATGCTTATATGAAGGGATACAACTGTTCTGTGAGAAATAGCACTGAGCTCTGTGTGTCATTTGTCGTTCAAGGGTGCGACTGGAAACTGACTTGAAGATTGAGAAGGAATGGAGGCAGACTTTGCAGGAAGATCTTCAAAAGGAGAAAGATGCCTTATCTCATCTTAGACATGAAACCCAACAAATCATTAGTCTTAAAAAAGTAAATAGTGGTAAAACTTTAAATATTGCATCATGACAACTGTTAACTTAAAAATGTACATTTATATGAAGAAACAGTATATACTAGTTATTTCTGGAAGTATCAGAAGATTAAAGTGAATGGAAAATTGTTGATAAGAGGTTTGGCAGGCTTGGATGGCTCATGTCTGTAATGCTAGCTACTTAGGAGATAAAGATTAGATGATCATGGTTTGAAGCCAGCCCAGGCAGGAACGTCCGAGAGACTCTTATCTCCAGTTAAACACCAAAAAAGCTGGAAGTGAAGCTGTGGCCTAAATGGTAGTTATTTTTTTTTCCAGTCCTGGGGCTTGAACTCAGAGCCTGGGTGTGACATGTCCCTGAGCCTACCACCTGAGCCACAGCACCATTTCTGACTTTTTCTGGAGATAAGTTTATTGGAGATAAGTCTCACAGGGACTTTTCTGCCCAGGCTGGCTTTGAACTGTGATCCTCAGATCTCATCCTCCTGAATAGCTAGGATTACATGTGTGAGTCACTAGCCCAACTAAAGTGCTCTCTTTGAGCACAAAAGCTCAGAGACAGTTCCCAGTCTGAGTTAAAGCTCCAGGAGCAGCATGTGCATATGCACACACATACACACACACAGTTTTGGAAAGAGTTCTGTTTTATTATCTTTCAGTAGCTGTACAAGAGAGTTTCAGTTCAACATGTGAGCTTGTAAATCCAGTGCATCTTGATCATTGTCACCCATTGCCATTCGTCAGTTGTGTTTCTTATTAAAAGGCGTAAAGAAAGGCGGTACTTGGAAGGCTAAGAGGAAGATCATGAGTTGGGGGGCAGCTTGGACCATATAGCAAGGCTGACTTAAAAAGCCAAAATAACCTAAGAATATGTTTTTCAAGTTAGTATGCGTAGAATTTAAATTACATTTTGTCTTATTTTGAAGGAATTTCTTAACCTCCAGGATGAAAATCAGCAGTTGAAGAAAATATATCATGAACAAGAACAAGCTCTTCAAGAACTTGGCAACAAACTTAGCGAGTAATTTCTCTTTTATTTTTCAACAAGTACACTCCTATAAAAAGGTCTTATAATGCCAGGTGCCAGTAGCTCATGCCTATAATCCTAGCTACTCAGAAGGCTGAGATCTGAGGATTGTGGTTCAAAGCCAGCCAAAGCAGTAAAGTCCATGAGACTCTTTATCTCCAATAAACCACTCAGAAAACTGGAAATGGTGCTATGGCTCAAGTGGTAGAGTGCTGGCCTTGAGCTGAAGAGCTGAGGGACAGCGCCCAGGCCCAAGTCCAAGCCCAAGCCCAGAGTTCAAGACACACGACCACCACCACCAAAGTATAACAGGCATGGACTATCTGTTTTAATATAGAAAAGCAGAAATAAGAAATCTACAGTGACCTATACTTTAATCACATCTTAAGTCTCTAGCCAACCTCAAAATAAAGCTAAATGTAAGCATCTCATCATATATATGGGTGCATGCCATTTGTAAAAGTTCAACTCAGTAGAAATCACAGTAGAACAGGGATTTAATTGTTGCTGAAGATGAGATTCCATTAGGAGGTATTAAGCCTCATTTCCAAGGGCATAAGGAACAGTATTATAATTTACTAGAACCATGAAGGAAACTTGGCTTCTAAAGAATAAAGCTATTAGGTGGACACTGGAAGCTTACCTCTTTAATCTTAGGTACTCAGGAGGCTTGAGATCGGAGGACTTCAGTTTGAAGCCAGCCTGGGCAGCAAGTCCACAAGAATCTTACTTCCAGTTAAGCATAAATCAAGCCAGAAGTAGAGCTGTGGCTTAAGTGGTAGAGATAATGCTCTACCTTTTTTACCTTGACCAAAAATGTTCAGGGAGGGCTGGGAAGGTGGCTCAGTGGTAGAATGCTTGCCTTGCATACATGAAGCCCTGGGTTCGATTCCTCAGCACTACATAAACAAAGCCAGAAGTGGCGCTGTGGCTCACGTGGTAGAGCACTAGCCTTGAGCTGAAGAGCTCAGGGATAACACCCAGGCCCTGAATCCCCAATCAAAAAAAAGGGGTGGGGGGAAGGGGGAAAGGAGGGACAAGGCTTTTTTTTGTTCCTAGTTTTTCTTTTTTCTTAAAAAAATTTTTGTTTTGTCTCTTGGTACTGGGATGTTACACTTGCTTGTCAATGAGCTACATCACAGCCCAGTTAGTTTTTTTTCTCTTTTTTTTTTTTTGTCCGTTGTGGGGCTTGAACTCTAGGCTTGGGCGCTGGTCCCTGTGCTCTTCAGCTCAGTGCAAGCACTCTACCGCTTGAGCCACAGCACCATTTCCGGTTTTCTAGTGGTTATTGGAGTTGAGTCTCACTGACTTTTCTGTCAGGACTGGCTTTGAACTGTGATCCTCAGATCTCAGCCTCCTGAGTAGCTAGGATTAGAGGCGTGAGCCACCAGCACCTGGCTCCAATTAGTGTTTTCAAAGAACAATTTGCATTGTAGTTCTGATGCCAATTTGGCCATCCATTTACTAAGCACTTTGAGCCATACCTTGTGTATCATTACCTTATTTCCCACTGACTCGTGTGACAGATATGTGTCAGGGACTATGTGAAGACTAACCACTTACCTTAAGATCATAAAAGTTTAATACTAAAACATAATAAAGTGCTAGCTAGAGATGTAGCTCAAGTGGTAAAGTGCCTGCTTAGCAAGCACAAAGCTAAGTTCACCAAAACAAAAGACATAGGAGAATGACATTGTTCTGGCCAGACACAATCACTAGGATCTAATAGTGTGTATAATTTCATATTTTATGAAAACCCAGCACCTAATTACTAGGCAGTCATATTTAAAAATGTGCACTAAAATTTGTACCTGTTTGTAACCCTTTTAGATCCAAACTGAAAATAGAAGATATAAAAGAAGCCAACAAAGCATTGCAGGTGAGTAGATGCTTTAAGTAAGAAGGCTCAACCCATTGGTGTGAGTTTACAAATACCCTGTATAAATGTGAAGCATTTTAGGGCTAAGGGTGTTGCTTGGTGGCAGTGCACATGCCCTGGTTTTTTTCTTCCCTTTAGGGACTGGTTTGGCTGAAAGACAAAGAAGCAACACATTGTAAGCTTTGTGAAAAGGAATTCTCACTTTCTAAGAGAAAGGTAAGAGAGGTAGGGAGTCCAAAATTTTTTGGCTCAAAAATGACTTAAAATTTCATTCAGTTTTCTCTTTCCATTTAATAGCACCACTGTAGAAACTGTGGGGAAATTTTCTGTAATGCCTGCTCTGACAACGAACTGCCTTTGCCTTCTTCACCAAAGCCAGTACGAGTCTGTGATTCCTGTCATGCATTACTCATTCAGAGATGCTCATCTAACTTGCCATAAAACTCCAGAACTAAGTCCTTCCTCTATGACAGTACCTGCAATGAATATTCCATGTGTGCAAGGTGTGCAGACATCAGCCCCTCTAAGCAGCTTCCAGTCAGTATTGGTACCAGTTTATCTTCTCGACTTAATTTTTGGGAATCATAAGCTGGATGACTTGATATTTACTTTTTTCCATTGTTATCCAGAATTTTAAACAGCATGTTTTGGAGTAACTTTAGCCTAATTAATATTACACAGAACAATCATGTAACTTAAGTCCATTGAAAGCCAGACAGAAGTGAACACACATTTGCCTTATCTTGTAAAGGCCTTCTTAAAAATAAGGCTTCAGATTGTCTTCTGAATTCTGTCAAATTGGCATTTGATGGTGCCTGTAATTCTCTTAATGCACTTTAAAGCTTCACAGTTCTCAGAGCAAGACTGAAATGTATCAACTTTTTTAGAAGAATTTATGTCCCAATTCAACATGTGTTATGAGACAAGATCTCAACACACCATCTTTGTTAACACAGGATCATCCATCCTGTGTTCCTCAGCCTTGAGTGCTGGGGTTATATGCCACCACATCTAGCCCGTAGGCTTTTCATTTCGGCAGGATTCCAACGTAAGTATTTGATGTGTTTTTTTCTCCCCCCACCCTTCCCTTATTTGCAATAGAAACAACCAATATTTTATACTATGTCATTTCCTTTTGGTCTTAAGTCAGTTTCATATGCTGGTGGGATTATAAGGGACATTGATTTGGCTTAACATTTCCCCTGTTAAACAAAACCATCCTTTCACCTTAAGTTACTGGGATAGGTCTTTTCAGATGCTTTTTTGCTTTTTAACACGGAATGGGGGATAGTATCCCAATTCAAAGTTGAAAACATAAATCCCTCAGGAAATGTGGTTTTATGCACATGCTGCTGGGGAACAAAACCCAGTTTCTCTCCTTAAGCATTAAAAATGAGGGGAGCTGGGCGCTGGTGGCTCACACCTGTAATCCTAGCTACTCAGGAGGCTGAGATCTGAGGATCGCGGTTCAAAGCCAGCCCGGGCAGGAGAGACCGTGAGACTCCTATCTCCAATAAACCACCAGAAAACCGGAAGTGGCGCTGTAGCTCAAGTGGTAGAGCGCTCACTTTGAGCTGAAGAGCTGAGGGACAGCGCCCAGGCCCAGAGTTCAAGCCCCATGGCCGACAAAAAAATAAAATAAAAATAAAAATGAGGGGAAAAAATTCTTTCCCTTGGAACGACATAGAAGAGTGATTCTGGGCTAGGAAGGTGGCTCAGTGGTAGAGTGCTTGCTTTGTATACAAGAGGCTCTGGGTTTGATTCCTCAGTACCACATAAGCAGAAAAAGCCAGAAGTGGTGCTGTGGCTCAAGTGGTAGAGTGCTAGCCTTGAGCTTTAGAGCTGAGGGACAGCACCCACGTCCTATTCCCATTGGAGTTATTTCTTAGAAATGTTGTCCTAGTCTACCATTGGTATTGGGTAAATGAAAATGGTGGCTTCCAGCCCATTTCTTAGATTAAAGGAACACTATTTTGTTGTAGCATCCTAAGAATTTCTATTGTTAACTTCTGTAGTCACACCACCATTTAGAATCCTTTGTGTATTAATTTTCAGCTATGCACTTTTGAGTCTTCCAAGAATAACACAGAAACTTTACATTCCAAGGAGCATTATTACATCTATGATTAATCATAGATGCTTCTTTTCCCCTTAGCGTATAAGATGCTTTTCTAAATTGCCAAAGTAAAAACTAGTGTTTTACTTGAAGGTCTACTGTCTCCAGAACCTATAAATTTCCAGTGAGCTTCTGAGGTCAATTTCAGTTAGATCTAACATATCCTTTCTCGAATATGGACAGAAATGTGTCCTTAATAGAATTATATTCTTGAACTGTTTTTGTACTGATGAGATATAATAACATTTTTATGACTGCTGAAAATTAGTAAACATAAGTTTCAAATGTTTTTTATTATGTACTTCAGAATTTTAAATGTAATTCAAGAGCTGGGCATTAGTAGCTCACGCCTATAATCCCAGCTAACTCAGGAGGGTGAGATCTGAGATCACAATTTGAAGCCAGCCCAGGCAGGAAAGTCCGTAGACTCTAATCTCCAATTAATCACATAAAAAAAAGTGGAGCTGTGGCTCAAGTGTGGAGCATTAGCCTTGAGTAGAAAAGTTCAGGGACAGTACCCAGGCTGAGTTCAAGCTCCAGGAATGGCACTTACACACACAAACACAAAGTAAGTTGCTTAAATTCCAAGGTTGATTTACAACAAATAAACCATGACTTTTAGTCACTTTTTGAAACTTTCTCACTAAATGACGTCATTACATCTTAGGTTCATTTTCTTTGAGGCAGCTGTTCTGAAAAAGTGTAACTTGGCTGTTTAGTTTTAGCTTACTTAAAAGCCATTTATAGACTAGGGATGCAGCTCAGTGGCATAGTGCTTGCCTAAGCATGTGTAAGGCCCTGGGTTTGATTCCCCAGACCATGAAAACAAAAACATAATATTTTTAGATTTTACTGCAAAACTTTCCTAATTATTGTGTAATTATGTACCTGTGTACACTACTTTTGCTTTTCAAAACAGACTTCATGCCATTCCTTTACGTAGACAATACCCATGATGATGTGATCACGGTGCCAAGGAATTGCTAATGTAATTCTAACCTGTAATGTTTTAAAAATAAAACGTGAGTTTTATAAAACAATTTGGAAAAACTAGCCTCCTTTAGGATATTTATTTCTAGCATTTTTATACTTTGACTGCTTTTAACAATTTGAGGGCAGTTCCTAGGGAAAATACCAATGTTTGTGCTGAGTGGCAGAGCTCTAAATGCCTAGAACACAGAAGCCCTGATTTCAGTCTCCAATCAAAAGAAAATATAAAAGGAAAAAATAAATCACGAGCGCCAGTGGCTCATGACTAGAATCCTATTCAGGAGGCTGAGATCTGAGGAAGCATGTTTGAAGCCAGCCCATACAGGAAAAAGTCCATGAGATTGTTATCTCCAATAAACTGCCCCTAAACTGAACGTGGAGCTGTGTGGCTCAAGTGGTAGAGTGCTAGCTTTGAGCTGAAAAGCGCAGGGACAATGCCCAAGCCCAGAGTTCAAGCTCCACGTTGGACAAAACAAAACAGCAATGCCAAAGGACAATAGGCTCCTACACCAGCTGTCAATACTTCCTTTGTAACTCCAGAAATCACTCCTTTGGAATCACTTTGTCTATTAATCTTCAACTTAGATACCACTATAGTATTTTCTACCAATTCAGTAGCCAACAAAAAACATTCTAGGACAGACAAGATACTATTGTCTCCCACATTGACATTTATTACATGAATAACATTTCTAGCAAAAACAAGTTACAAGTTGAATAACTGAATTCACATTGACAGGTTTCACTTTGACCCATTAGTCAATTTGGAAAATAAAAGCGCCATACTGACAAAAAGAGGTAAAAAGCACCTTTTCCTTGCTCTATATAGTATTTCAACTAAAACTCAAAGCTGATATTAGATGTAAAATCCATTTGAAGGATTATTTTAATTGACATGGATTTCTTTTACATTTTATAAAACACTTTAGAGTCATGTGAGAAACTGAAAATACAGGTGTGAAGTACACTTTCTATAGTACATAGCCACATACTTGCATTGAATTCTTATGTCATCAAAAACCTTTAGCTACTCTAAGACATCTTAACTTACAAATCTTTTTAGAAACATTTTTGGTACTTCAGTCAAAAGGGGGATCTTACTCTAGTCTAAGGCTAAATTTGCAGCACACCTACCCATACTAAGAAATTCAGGTAGCTTTGTCTAATAAATGATATTCTAAAAATAATATAGTATTAGCTGAAATTATGCTCCTGAAGCCACCCAATTCATCTTTAAGGTTTATATTTACAGTGTTGTATAGGAGAAATTAAAAGAAGTTTCACTAATTTTTAAAGCTCTATGCCAGATACTGCTTATTAAGCTTGCTGTTTACTCAGAAGTTAACCATTATCCTCTAACGTTACACACTATACAACTTCTGATAGAGCTAACAGTAAAATACATTAACCCAAATCTTATGAAGGCAGCACATCTTTTGGAATAGCTATATATAAAAAGTATCAACATCAGTTGTTTGAATATAAAAATTTATTTTTAAGTCAAAGTATGCAACAAATAAAACCTACAGAAAACAGATTTTCCCATCACAATCTGTTTCTTTACCAAATAATATTTTGAAAACACATTCCTTCAGTCATTATAAAGTTCTTAAAATACAAAAGAAATTAAATCTGTAAGAAAGTCTAGTAGACCAGATGCTGTGTTGTTAAGACTTGTATGTTGGTGCATTTTGTTTTCAGTACATCCCACGCCATCCACCTCCACTCATGCCACCTTGACCATAGTAACCTCCACTGCCTCCACCACCACGGCCTTAAAAAAAAAAAACCATTAAGATGCTGAAAGTAACATCCACCTTTAATTACAGGCATTATATTATGGGAACTAACATAAACCAAACTACACATACATACCATAACCGCCCAAGCCATCAGGAGTACCGTATCCTCCGCTGTAATTGTTCCCCATTCCCATTCTGCCAACAGATCCATATCCTCCCTGATTATCTTTACAAAAAATAATAATAATTGAGAATTGTCAAGTAGCTAACATTGCTTATTTAAAAAGCATTACATATCTATTCCATAAAAAAAAATTACATACCTATTCCATCTCTGCCATAGCCTCCCATTCCAGAACCTCCCATTCCAGAGCCACCTCCAGGAGTAGAATTCAAGAAGAGTTCAATGTATCTATGTTCTTAAAGGAAAAAGGTGGATAGAAAAAGACACTGGATCAAATTTCTCAATAAAAACTTAAAAAAAATCAATTACCTAGATTTAAATGAAAGCAGGATTAGATATGAAAAGTCAACTATTACCACTAAAGTTTAAATGAGTTAAGAGTTCTCAGTGCTTTTATACTTGTGCCATAGCTACTTAAATGTAAAACATCTCTTACATCTATTTAAATCAATGAGAAATTGATTTTGTAATCTGGGTAACATCCAAGAAATAAGACAGCATGGCAAGGAAAACACTTACGCATGTTATTTTTATCCTTAGACATGGCAGCTACTGCATCTTCATGTGTCACAAACTCTACATCTGCTTCTCCTGTTGCTCTCCCATCAGCTCCAATATCAATATGAACTCGTATTGGGTTTAGTGGTGTGAAGAACTAAATAAAACAAAACACTTGTTACTCACCTTTTTATTTCAATTATTGAAAGTTACCAGTTTACCGTGATTCTTCAGTTCATTGGAATAAACCCTGAACAAACCCTTCTGTTGCCCTATTTGCCTAGCAATAATTAAAAAGATCCTATGAACATAATTACCCACTTAAGAAAAATGGTGCTGAATGGTGCTGATGGCTCACTTGTAATCCTAGCTTCTTGAGAGGCAAAGATTGGGAGAATCACTGCTTGAGGTCGACTAGAACAACAACAAAAAGAGCATATGTGACTCCATCTAGGCCTGGTGGCAAGTATCTGCCACTCCAGCTATAGGAGTATTGCAGTCCAGGCCAATCCAGGGAAACAAGTGAGACCCTATCTCAAAATTAACCAAAACATGAAAGACTAATGGCAAATGACTCAACTGATAATGTCTGCCTAGCAAGCAAGAAGACCAGACTTTAAACTCAGTTCCTCCTCCTACCCACTAAAAAAAAAAAAAAAAAAAAGCAAACAGTTGGTGCCAGTGACTCATGCCTGTAATTCTAGCTACTCTGGAAGCTGAGATCTGAGAATTGAGGTTCAAAGCCAGTCCAGGCAAGAAACTCCCTGAGACTCTTATCTCCAATTAACCACCAGAAAAAGGAATTGGCGCTGTGGCTCTAGTGGTGGAGTGCTAGCCTTGAGCTCAGAGACAGAGCCCAGGCC